ATCACCCATCCCCTCCCACTTGTGACTGTTTGACTGTAACTTTATCGCTTGTATCCTTACAATTTATATTGACTGTTTCCTAGTATGATTTGATTGCTTATTGTACCCCATGACTATCATTAAGTGTTGTACCTTATGATTCTTGACGAATGTATCTTTTCTTTTATGTACACTGAGAGCATTTGCACCAAGACAAACTGCTTATGTGTCCAACCACATTTGGCCAATAAAGAATTCTATTCTATTCTCACAGTGAGGACAGAAGTCCCTAACCCAGCCCCAATCTTTTTACACCATGTGACCTTGTTGCACAATGTGTTGGCCCTGCAAGTCTATCATACTATGTTGACATAAAGTTATTTTCCGTTCAGGAGTCTGACAGCCCACAGGTAGAAACTGTTCTTCAGCCTCTTGATGCGGCTGGCTATGCTTCTATAGCTCCTACCTGATGATAGGAGAGTGAAGAAGTGCTGACCGGGATGTAAGTCATCCCTGAGGATTTTCCTCACTCTTCTAAGGCAGCGAGCCCTAGCAAGGTCATCTAGTGGTGTCAGGGAATAGTCCACAATGTTTTGTGCTGTGCTCACCACCCTCTATAGTGTCTTTCTATCCGCGGCTGTCAAGCCAGCATATCACACCGTCATGCAATATGAGAGGACGCTTTCTATTGTGGATTGGTAAAAGGAGGTCATCATTCATTGTTCCACTTTATTCTTTCGCAAGACCCTGAGGAAATGGAGTCTCTGTTAGGCTTTTCTGGTCACCTGGGTTGTGTTGATTTTCCAGGTGAGATCTCCACTGAGGTAGACTGCCAGGAATTTAAAGAAGGAAACTCTCTCCACACAGCCCCCTTGGTGTAAAGTGGGGCAGATTCCTCTCTCTTCTTCTGGAAGTCTAACATCATCTCCTTTGTCTTGCTGATGTTCAGGTGCAGATTATTTTCTAAGCACCATGAGGATAATTTTTGAACCTCCCCCCTGTACGATGTCCATGGTAGGATCAAAGTCACATCTAGAAATGCCCTTAGACCTTTCCCTAGATGGAACGGCAGTTTCATGGTCTCCATATCTATCAATTTCAAATTGTAGACATTAATATACGGTTGACATAGATTTTGTCTTTTTGGAATCAAAGAACACTTTCATTGTTTTGGGGCATGAACAAAGAAAGCATTACCAAATGCTGGTATTACCAGCATTTGTAAATGTTGTATTACCAAAGAATTCCAGATCAAGTGTAGCATCTCCTAAACCAGCCAAAATAAGTAAGCAATAGGGCTGATAAACTGTTGTTGGACACTAAAACTGGGGAGAGGAAGTAGAAATTATGGGACTGATAAGATGGAATTCTAAACAAAACACTCAAGCCTGCAGGGTTTGAATGCAACATTTGCTATACTTATTACATAGAGAAAGCATCTGAACTCATTAGAATATTGGAACTGCTAATTCCATACCATTCATCAACTTGGACTTGAGTACATACCCAATTCCACCTTATTCCTGGTTAGAAAAATATCAATTTTCTATTTATTTTGTAAGATCAGCTCATGAAGGCTGAGTTCGGTTGGTTGGTTAAAATTCTTTCAAATTAGTTTGGAAAAAGTTGGACATTTAGCAGAGATGGTGTCTAGACTAAGTCTGATTGGACAGACATACGCGCACATAGATACATACCAGAGGTGGTACGCAGCAGGTTCTGACCAGTTCTGGAGAACCGGTAGCGGAAATTTTGAGTAGTTCGGAGAACCAGCAAATACCACCTCTGACTGGAGATTTTGCATTATCCTTCCCCTGCCATGCCCACCAAGTCACGCCCACAGAACTGGTAGTAGCAAAATTTGAATCCCAACCCTGATACATACCCACATACACCCACACTTACATATGTGTGTGTGTATATGTTGCTTTGATTTATTCGAGACTCTTAGAACTGGTACAGCTATTTTAATATGTTACATCAGCCTTAAGCTGGAGTGCCAGAAAGTTAATACATTATAACATTAACCTTTCTGAAGGAATTTGGTCAGGAATGATGAAAGCTTTGCCAAGTGTTGGCATCAGAAATGTCTTTGTATTACTAAGTTTTTTTAGTGCCTACTTTTTAATATCATTTTGTGGCTGCTGGTCTCTGTGAACTCTTGTTTTTGATATTAAGCATTCTGTTTTTTCTCTCTTCATTTGGAATTTAGTTCTGGATATAGTGCGATGTTTATTTTTTTTACGATGGCTTTTGTGGGGTTGCTATTGTTATGTACCCGAACAGGGTGCAAAGGGCAGATGAATAAACAGAGGGCAGGAAGGAATCCTGACAAAACACCCAGTTATTATTAAGAAAACTAGATGGAAATGTCCCATCATTTTCCCCTTCCAAATATGAACACATAACTTGCAACTACTAAGCCTGACGATTTAAACTTCAAAACCATCTTAGGGCAAAATAAGAAAGTGCATAAAAATGAGAAATTCCAGAACCTCCGTCTTGTTTTCTAAAAAAAAACCTATTTAAAAATGTTGGATAGTCCAGGTCATTTGTGCTGCTAACTACAATTAATTGCTAACTACAATTAAGTGTTTTAAGTGCTCTATGGGTGAGGAATTCTGGGAGTAGAAGTCCCCTCAGGGGTGGGATTCAAATTTCTTAACAACCGGTTCTGTGGGTGTGGCCTAATTTGTGGGCATGGCTTGGTGGTCATGTGACTGGCTTGGCGTGGCTTGCATGTGAATATTATAAATATTTATGTAAATATTGAATTTTTTATTTAAAAAAAAGAGAGAGCAACTTTTACCCCAAATCAGGCAAAGCAGGCAGGCAGATTGAGTTGCTCACAGAATCACAGATTCACTTAGAGATCTGTGTTTCTGCAATCTGCTACCTGAGTCTGCCACTGAAAAATAGAAGCTTCAGTCCTAAGGAAGGTTCAGCTCTGCTTTTAGATTAGCTAGAAAGCAAGAAATCCAATGATTTCCTGCTTTCTAGTTAATCTAAATCTCCCAGCACAGCAGAACAGCTGATGGCCAGGGAAAAAAAAAAGGAAAAATAGCAACTTACCCAACGCAGGCGGGGCAGGGTGGGTCCAGCCAGTGGCGGAATTTGCCGGTTCTCCGAACTGCACAGAATCGTAACAACCGGTTCTATAGAACCAGTCCGACCAGGTCCACTCATCTTAAACTTGCCGAGTTTCAAAAATCAGTGTTCTAAGGAGATATTCCGTTAGCTAACTATTTGTCTTCCCCATAAGACAAACCACACCTGAGCCCAGAATTGATGTTGCTGAGTGAGACATTTAGTTAAGTGAGTTTTGCCTCATTTTATGACTTTTCTCGGTACAGTTGTGAAGCGAACCGCGGCAGTCGTTAAATGAGTAAAATGGTTGTTAAGCAAATCTGGATTCCCCCCCCCATGACTTTGCTCACCAGAAGGGGGCCAAAAATGACCCTATAACGCTGGGACATTGCAACTGTCATAAAATATGAACCAGTTATTGGGTGTCTGGATTTAAATCACCTAACCATGGTGATTCTGCAATGGTCGTGAGCATGAAACAACTGTCATAAGTCACTTTTTTTCCAGTGCTGTTGTAATTTTGAACGGTCATTAAATGAACTGGGGTTTTTAAGAAGACAAATTAGAGTAGAGTAGAGTAGAATAGGAATGGAATAGAATGGAATGGAATGGAATGGAATGGAATGGAATAGAATAGAATAGAATAGAATAGAATAGAATAGAATAGAATAGAATAGAATAGGAATTGGAATGGAAATATAAATATAAATATAAATATAAATAGAATAGAATAGAATAGAATAGAATAGAATAGAATTGGAATTGGAATTGGAATTGGAATGGAATGGAATGGAAATAGAAATAGAAATAGAAATAGAAATAGAATGGAAATAGAAATAGAAATAGAATAGAATAGGAATAGAATAGGAATAGAAACGGAATGCAATGGAATAGGAATAGAATAGAATAGGAATGGAATGGAAATGGAAATGGAAATGGAAATGGAAATGGAAATGGAAATGGAAATGGAAATGGAAATAGAAATAGAAATAGAATAGAATAGAATAGAATAGGAATAGGAATAGGAATAGGATAGAATAACAGAGTTGGAAGGGACCTTGGAGGTCGTCTAGCTAGTCCAACCTCCTGCTTAGGCAGGAAACCCTACACCACTTCAGACAAATGGTTATCCAATCTCTTCTGAAAAACTTCCAGTGTTGGAGCATTTATAACCTCTGGAGGCAAGTTGTTCCACTGATTAATTGTCACTGAAAAGACTAGACAGCCACTTACCTCAAACGATATACATTCTCCTGATTGAGCAGGGGGCTCGACTAGAAGAGCTCCTAGGTCCCTCCCAGCTCTTATTCTATTCTTAAAAAAAACAAAAAACAAAACAGACTAGCTGCCCTTGGGTTCCCAGGCTTCAGACAAAACTCGATTGCCCCAATCTGTCTTCCTTTCATCAACCTACATTTCCCCCCAACCCCCGCCCCGCTGCTTCAGCTTCATCCCTGGAAGCCTTCAAGAAGAGTCTGGACTGTGCCATCTGTCAGAAATGGTGTAGGATCTCCTGCTTGGGCGAGATGGGGTGGGGGTTGGACTAGATGACCTACAAGGTCCCTTCCAACGCTGTCCATCTGTTAAGTCTCTGTGTCTGGAGAGGATCAGAACCGCTCGTTCTCCGACCTCAAGCAAATGGCTGGAGCGTCTGTTAGAAAAGGACGCCCGATTTGAGCTGTCCGGACTTCAGGTAGCCCCCCTCCCCCTCCCCGCCCGGGACGATTCGGAGAAGGGGGCGGGGCTTCCCCGTCAAGCTCCTCCCCCTTCCGAAACAAGAAGCGCTCGGGCGAGGCTGCGCTCGATCAAACGCCTCTCGGCCGGCCGCTTGGAAGGAGGAGTGCGCCGCCCGGGCTTAGGCGCTCTCCTTGGGGATCCGAGCCTCGGCTTCCCGGCGCGAGGGGTTCGGCTGAAATCCGCGGGAGATTCGGCTGGAAGGGCTCTGGAGAGCCGAAACGCGATGGAGTTGGCGGCGGGAGCGGGGCTGTTTCTGGCGCTGTGCTTCGCTGCCGAGCCCTGCCTGGGGGATTCGGGTAAGGGGCGTCCGTGGGGACGGGGATCGGGGGTTTGGAGAAGGGGCGGCGTCAAAGCTAGGAAAGCCACCCGGGAGGGTCGGTCCGTTCTGTCCCGCTGGACTCCGGGATCGGGTCGATCCGGCAGGGTTGGATGAGAATAGGATCGCCACAGTTGGACCCAGGGATCGGATCGATCTCGCAGGGTTGGGTGGGAATAGGCTCTCCACAGCCGGACCCAGGGATCGGGTGGATTGGGTGGGAGTCGGATCTCCATAGTTGGACCCAGGGATCGGATCGATCCGGGTTGGGTGGGAATCGGATCTCCATAGCTGGACCCAGGGATCGGATCGATCTGGCTGGTTTGGATTGGAATAGGATCTCCATAGTTGGACCCAGGGATCGGATCGATCGGGTGGATTGGGTGGGAATCGGATCTCCATAGCTGGACCCAGGGATCGGATCGATCTGGCTGGTTTAGATTGGAATCGGATCTCCATAGTTGGACCCAGGGATCGGATCGATCGGGTCGATTGGGTGGGAATCGGATCTCCATAGCTGGACCCAGGGATCGGATCGATCTGGCTGGTTTGGATTGGAATCGGATCTCCATAGCTGGACCCAGGGATCGGATCAATTGGGTGGATTGGGTGGGAATCGGATCTCCATAGTTGGACCCAGGGATCGGATCGATCGGGTGGGTGGGAGT